TTAGGTATTCTTTAACTGACTCGAAGGATTTGAATAAAGATTTAAAACAATCTGTGGCAAACTGCAAGTGAATAAGACAGATAAATAGTAAAAGAATGATATGCTTACTTTTACAAAAGGGTAAGAAGTAGATAAACATATTCTACTGAGATCGGCGTTGATTAACTCATCTAACACCTACAATAATTGTGCAGAACCCAACCCCGAACAACTCGCAACTCCCCAAACAACTCAAACCAATACTCAATAACTACATGAACTGACACTGCATCTTGTTTCAACCACACAGAAGCTTTCTTAAACTGCTAATATTTTACAGGATATCGTACCTCGGGATAGATCAGTGGTGAATTATTATCAACACATTTTCTAATCATTTAATTATTGTAGATTTAGAGACTTGTCAACCCAATTACCTATTGCTGCTCAATAATCAGTCTAGTTTTACCACAAAAAAATGAGTGTGGCACCCAAGTTACTAGCAATCGAATAGCCCTAACCTGACTTTCATTTGCTGAGACTAGTCTGTATCAGTAATAAAGAGCACAGTATCAATTAGAACTGTCCGATTAAAATAATAATAAAAATAATGCCTTTTAGACGATTTACCAAACAGACAAAGGTAGGAAATTTACTACTCGCAAGAAGAAGCAATATATCAATCTGTCGTAGTGTTAGATCACAGAAAAAACCAGATCATTAACAAAGGATACTCCCCATTGTCCACTTTTGTTTAAAATTGTGTTGAAGTAGAACACTTCAAGCTCTGGCCAAATCAACCTGCCCCAAAATAATGAATCAATCATTAGGCTGGATCCTAAAGCTTTTGTTAATCACTAATCGAGTACTTACCAACACTGATGACAGTAGTTGTAATGATTGTCTTGAACAATTTCAATCGAATTTTTACACAACCAGTAGACAAGCCGTATAAAAGGCACGGTCCAAATAACAGGACTAATTCACTACGAAACACGAGGATTGAAATCCCGGCTGATACAATAAATTTAGTTTCATTGCGTCTGATTAACTGACCCAGAGAATATAGAACTAAGAATTTGAGAAATGCAGGAAACCATTATGGATATTTATTTTGCAAGTGGTCAACAGACAACGTGTAAAAACTTAGCATACTTCTTGATACCTCCCACTTCATAGCAGGTAAACAAAACACATACGGGGGGAGAACCAGTTGACAATGTGGTACTTGGCTCATTACTTTACAATGGCTTGTCTTTAAATAATCAGATAACATCTTGGGTTATTCTATTCCCCTTAATTGCAAAGCTATGCACTAAAACTTCGAAGTTCGATCTGAATATACTCCGGCGAAATTCTTTTTTCGTGATCAAAACGCAGTCCTTGAAACAAATGCGCAACATCAGAGTGCAAAAGTACTTCAAGGTAATATTCATCATGAACTGACATCACTTAGAGAACCATTAAAAATCTAGAAGCACTAGACAAGCGCTTCATCCTAGTATGGAACTGCTTAGCAGTGCGCACCCATGACTCCACTAGGGAACGAACCCAGTACCTTCAGGCCGCACGGTGAGCACATCATCATTGGGTCACTGGGTCGGAATCCAATAGTTCACATCTTATTTCTGTCGATTCACGATATAACGCAATCATTATCTAACGCTATAGGTGAGTACTTGTCCTCACATTGGATTTGGTTCACCGCATGGGTCACAGTCCCCACTAAAACTTCGAGAAATCCATCTCCAAGATTGTTACTAATAAATATCTAACAATCAGTACCTGTTGACAATATTTTGAAGTGGAGTATCAATAAATACAGAGAGAAAAGCAGTTAATTTCAAAATAACTAAGAATATTTCTCCCGTTAGACGCCTTTCTTAATAGCTATCGTATGCCAAGTTTTCATTTTAATAAGACAGATACACGTCAGCTACAGCCAGAAACAGCGAATATGAGGCAAAGAAACAGTATTTGAAGTGCACTCAGCGTTAGACTTCAATGCAACCCCCTGAAAAAAAAATCATCGAATTAAGTTTGCATGAAACCCCAAAAGGAAGCTAATCTATCGGCGACAGTAATCTTCGGATAGCGAACACTCGCATAAATTCTGTAGGACATAATTGTACTGAACTAGGTCAACAAACCACACTCACTAATTCCCTAAAAATAAGCAGATGCAAAGCTAAAAACTGAGATTCGTCTATGAATTTAGAAGTAAGCGAGTTTATTGTGTCATTTCTTAAGTAAGGACAGTTTGCAGCCGCCTGGTGGAACTTTTCGTACACTTAAGTAACTGAGCTGTAATCGAGCTATAATCAAATGAACATACACTAGACTCCACAAGCATTTTGAAGAGTTTAAGAAGGTTAAGAACTCGAAACTCTACTTTTTAACTGTAGCATTTACACTTAAGCTGTACTATTCAGCTGGTTTATGCAAATGTCAGTTCCGAATATTTTAACAAAGCTTAATCCTTTGCTACATTGAGGGTTTCCCAAACAGTTTTTAAATTTCCCTTGAATTCTATTGTTCTCCACAATATAAAACCGCATATTAATGTTAAAAATGTAGAAATATACTTCATATGAAGCAACTAATTGAGCATGAAACGAAGTCTGGAACGCAAAAACAAATTTTACTGAACTACAGCAACCATAGAACACTTGTAAGCTTCGCGTCGTGACTATAATATACTACTAATAGCAAGACAAGATTGCATAATCACACTTCGAAACACTACAGAAAATTATTGATACTGAATAAAACCAGACTGGAAATAAGACATTTTACTGGATTCTGAATACCAGCAAATGAAATCTATAGGTGATGACATTTTAACATAACAGACAGCAATTTCTATGTAACTCAAATCAAATCGAATTCAAATGTACTCAGCAACCTTGCGCATATTCGTACAGTAAGCAATGAGCCATACCTATTATGTAAGGGCTAATGATACTAACTAGCTACCCAAACCTCGGCTACCACTAGTATTTTTTTTATTTTTGTACAGTACGCATTTTATATTGCTAAATAGGGAAATGCGACAAAATATTATTAAAAGTATTCGAACTTACCGAGTATGAGTGCAAATGTGTTTGGTAGTGTTCGGGAGGCATAAAATGCAAAGTGGAATTGACTGCAGCATATTAAGAAGAAGCGTAAGTACACATGGTTTCCAAAACGTTTCTTCACCGACTGTCCAAACGTTGTCAAGCTTATAACTGTTAGTACTCCCAGACAAATCCTAACTGGACAATAATAAGGTCAATAATAAGTTACCGATGTACTGGGATACAAACTTATTTACTTTTATCAGTGAAATCCAGTAAACCAATGGCGCACTGAACCAGGCAACTAATAGAGAACCAATGAATGATCTTGGCACAACACCCGGGAATTCGTTATGATCGTACTAATATGGGTAGAAGTGTGTCCAGAAAACATACCAAAGTTAAGTTAGTCTGAAAATACAGCAAGTCATGCAGTGCTTGTATGTTAAAGCTTTCTTCCACCTTTGTGAAGGGACAGAGGAATACCAGAGCAACAACAAATATGCCGAACAAAACTTCCATATGCATACATGATGACCAGCTGTTAGTAGGTTTTCGTCGAACCTGCATGTGCTTTATTTTAGGGAAGATGAATAGAAGAGTGCGTTTAAATTTGATGGTGGTATTCTACTCAGCCTGCACAAGAATCTAGAATGGAAAACAAAAGGAGAAAGACATGAACCAGTGACTCGGCAAGCATAAACGATGTGCTTGCGCTAAATACTAAAAGACAATCAACAAAACCAATGCACAATGAAAAGACAGGGTAAGCTGGAAATCAAAACTGTGCATCAAGGTTTCGGATATGTTACACTACTCCCCTGACGAAGACGTATTGTGTTAGTGCTTGCGTCTCAGTTAGGTTAATATTAGGTATTATACAGGAAGATGGTGAGGAAGTTATATTGGAGGGAGTTTATTTTTATTTGTTGGTAAGAGATGGGCGCCATATATAATAATACATGAACATTAGCAGGAAATAAAAGTGATTTATGCGGAATGCAAGAAGAAAGCATAAATAGAAGCGTTTTATTAAAGAAGTCTCAAATGTACATTCAAAGAGGCATTCACCACTTTTATTTCACTTTTCAGTAACAAAAGAAACAAGAAGGTTACAGTGTGATTATCACTGCTTTCGATTGTAAGTAATCTCTGTCACCGTCCCAAGCCAATGAGTTGCGAAATCTTATGGACATCGTCCAGGAAGTCATGAGATACCCGCAGCGCTAACCTTACAAAACTATCTTCAGCCTACATGCCATATCATACACTCCCCACCATTCAGCTTTCACGGCAAGTGAACAGTGTGACATCCCATGAGATGACATTTGTAACATATATAAGCCACGAAAACAGGTGAATACACGTAATGAATGACGATTTTCATCATACCCAAACACAGGCCATCTCACCTCGTAACTACTTACCTGAAATTTCCACCAGATGCGAGTAATCCTACGATGGTCGTGATGATTAAATACGCAGTCACAGTACGTCCTCAATTCGGAGTTCAGGTTTCACAGGCGTAAAGCAAAACCACCGCACCAGTAAGACCAACTTGACAGCACAGAAAGTGACCCGAATTGGAGTATGCCTTTCTGTACTACGATAAACAGTTAAAAATCTCATTAGTTACACCTACGCCAGGACATGTGAAGCTGTGATCCATTGGTTTAGGGAGATGACTTTCAACCAATGGGTCATGACTTCGAAAACCGCTCCACTTAGGGAGATTCGAGCTGCTAGATAGTATCATCAGCCCCCACAGATTAGGTGTGGCTCACAGACTACTGTACAAATCTGCACAAGGTTGCTGAGTGCATTTCGATTTCGATTCCACTCGACACCATTACACACAAATAACCATTTATGCAAACTAGCAAACTATTCCCAACACCTGACAACCAAGTGCGACTGAAGAAATACGCTCCAGCCAATCTCAAAAATCTTTTGCATTTAGACGATGTACACCATATATTATACTTATGGACATTAACCGTCAACTGATAAATTGTGATTTGAGTAGCCTGTATTTTGTCACACAGCAGAACAATATCATCCGCATACTCAACATTAAAAAGGCTTCCACCTTGTAACATATGTACATCACCACTGTACAGCTCCATCACAATTATCCATAGCATGTCATTGATTTCAAAGTTAAAGAGGAATGGTGAAATTAAGCGGCCATATATATCACACCATGGTTGGTTTGCAGCAATGCGATGTGGTTGGATATTCTTACCATAATTCAGGTGTTACAGCATATGGCTTTTAAGACTTTAATCAACTACCGAGGGACACTCCAATCTGACAGACAATTTCAGTGTAAAGCCTTATCCAACGAACCAAACCCAACTCTAATATTAATAAATGTAACACTTTTTGGCCCGGAATATGTGTGACGGAGTTCAAACATCTAGTGGATGGTAAACATGCGATAAGTGCAGACAAGCAGTCTAGTCAACGAACAATTAGGCATAGAAGTGCATCGGTTCAAGTTGGAACATTTCAAAGCAGCATGGCCAGAAGTTGATAGTGATACGAAGGCAGATAAATGCGCATGCGAGAAGAGTAAATCAACCAGTGAAATTTATCGAACTGTTCAAGACTATAATGATGGTAAGGAATGCATACACCTGTGATTTTGAACCAAGTCATCATGACTCTCCAACCATAGATTCCTGTTGTCTTAGGGATCTCAGTCAGAAAGTTTTCACCTTCCTGTACAGTTCAGATCAACAATCAAAAATCTGATTGGCTGATGCCATGTTTTTGTCTGACCACCCTTAACCTCCTATCAACCCAATTCCACTTCAACTAACATGGCACATTGAAGTAGGCGGTGATGCAGCACGCGTATCACAGGTTTAAGCCATCTCAACCACTGATCGTTGATAATGCATTCACAATCTGAACGAAACCCAACCCGTTTTGAGCGGAACAGCATATAACACGTTCGCAAAGCCTGTGAAGAATATTTATAGTGAATACTTTAAACGTAACTGGCAGCTAACTGGAACACCGGTAATTTTCAAGCATGTTGCATATAGCTTTTGTAGGGATGGAAACAACTATGGCATCATTAGACAAATTTAACCTACCACACCGTCTGATATCCACCTTTAAAAATGGCACCGCGAAACTTGTCTATGCTGTGGCTCAGGAAGTTCACTACACACCCACACTTTAGCGGGTCAATGATTGTGAAACCGAAGATTTGGGCTAATTATCTGGCTTCCTGAAATGTTTTCCACTATCACAGGAGCCAATGAAAGATAGCTATCGGTGTGTAACCTCCATAGATCACGACACACCGAAAACATTCTTGAAGACGGCAGCTGATATAAACTGCACTTCCTCCTACAAGTCGAAGATGGAGTATGGGGATATAAGTAAGATTCGTAACCACATATATTAGACAATGCGATACAATACAATTTTTCGACTTGAAGCTCAATCCATTTTCAGCAGTCCGAAATACCAGCTGTGACAAATTGTTTCGGAGTTCCCTGTAGGCCTTTTCCTTACACTCTACCTTCCACATTTTGATAGGCAGGTCATTTATGGCCACCGAGAAAACATGTGGTCCAAGAAAAGCTCCCCAAGATGCTTCTGTCATTGAGCCCAATCAGGTAGACTAGGTTCTATTTCACTTCAGTGAAGGACTCCTTACTCTTTATATACGATCTACACCAAGCGTTGTGGTTCGGTGATGCCCGCTTTCAAAAATTTACCCAGAATGGTGGTGTATGGGACGCTTTCAGAAGCCCTAACTAAATAAGGGAAGACAACATGGATTGCTTGCTTGTCTTCCCAGTTCGTTATCGCAAGCGGTCACTACGCTTGTAGCACATTACCACCCGATTCTGAAGTCGTGTTGAGCTCCACAAGTGATGCTATTCCTGGTTCAAGAAGTCCAAAACAACGTCTCTGAACAAAATTTTCATTACTTTGAAAAGCATGGGCAACAACACTATTGGTCGAAGCCGCCTGTCTTTTGTTGTGACAAACTAGTAGAGTATTTCAGGTTGCAAACTAACCTCCCAGTCAAATTACTGTAGCAACTGAAACCCGATGTAGTGAACCCTAACACTGCATTGGTTATAGATTCTCTTGCACCCGAGGAAATAGGACTTTCTAGGATCCTCCCAGTTAAACTAGGCCCTCTTCCCTACCTGTATTAGGTGTTCTGTCGCATGCGTCACCCACAAGTGTTTCGTCAGCTGACATATGGTTTTTTATGTTACACTCATTTCGATAAAAGTACAGCTCTTATCTTTCATATACAACTAGTGTTTATTTAACGTAAGTGTTACATTGGCCCTCGAACTGGGGTTAGAAGATAGATGCACTGAAGTGATCACCCCGATGTTCCCTGCATGCATCTATTCAGACGGGAGTCACAAGATTCATGTTCTTTTAAGCAGCCAACAGCTTTCTAACCAGCCCAATCTACAAGTTGGAAATACAAATCTACGGAAAACACCTCAGCTAAGCTATAACGTCAGGAAAGCAGGATAGTCTTTCCTGCTCACCACAGGAGCGAAACCTATCAGTTCCCTATACTTGCAATGTTGATGTTTGAACTGAACGAGTTTAAGCCTAAGAATTCTGGAAGCTATGTATTTTAACAGGTGTCTAGATCACTAAGTCTCAATACGCACCAATTTATGGCAAATTAACTGACGTGAAGTCGAGAAACTTACCGAATGAGAAGATTAGCCTGTGTAACACCACTAGGAAGTCAGGGATGGTCACAGTGGCTGGCCGTTGAAGGTCAGATGCCGAGTTTCAAATGATCGAGCAAGGTCATCATTTTTCACTATTCAGAAATAAGGATGACAGCTCAATCGACCTGTGTGAGCCTTTGCGATATTCACTGCTGTAGAGACTCAGTCGCACTTTGAAATTGGCAGTGGAAGGTGCGAAGCAACATCATCCTTTCTGGCGCGCTGTCTGAAAAGAGGAGTGACTTTTCACATTCAGCTAGATTCTCGTCATTTTTTGTGTTTACACATCAAAGGCCTTTGTTTTTTTGCTGCAATCCGAATGTTATTTGATTAAGGTGAGGCGGGAACTTTCGCTGGGTGAATTTCTGTAGTTTCTGCTTCATGGTAAGCCAAAAGTGTCGTAAAAATGCTTGTGGTAGGGCTGGGTGCCACTTCACAGCGGCCACTGGTATGCAGTGTAGCGAATGTAAGAGTTGGTTCCACGATAACTGATCAAGCCTCACACCCTTAGCATATAAGAATTACAGCAACGCAGGAAGCGTCTGGCTTTGTACGTTGTGCTGCTCGGATATTCGCACTCTAGTAGAAGAGGTAAAACGACTTCTAAATACGATAAATGAGAAACTGTCGTCAAAAGTCAAAGCCGATAACTGTGGCAGCGATAACGACACAGCATCCATTGATACACAGATTGCTGTGCGAAACTTTAAGTACGTCCCACGACAAGCTGTAGGTCGGGCACGTAGACTACCTACTAGGTCTGCTGACAGAAAATTGGAAAACACCAAACCAGGCAGGGTGAAGCGGGCATCTTCTGGATCTCGCATTCTCAGACCTGATAGGCCCAGCCTGAAAGCTGCTGACCTTAAGACTAGGCCCACTTAAGACGAAAGAAACAGGAGTGAAGCGTTCTCAGTTCCAACGACGGAACCATGCAGGCCGCAGGTCATACCCAGTTCAGCGACTCAACCACTGGCCAAAATCACACGGAGTGTGATGCAAGTCCACTGTGATGCTCTCAGCGCCAGGGTCACTCGACTAGGCTTTAGTAAACCTTGCATATCCGACTCTGAAAAATGGCGAGTAACCAAGCCTAAACGGCATGCTAAGAAGCCAACGACGGTAACCGTGCCAGCTATCATCACTCCACGTAGCAAAGACAAAACTGAGATCCTTGACAGGTCCGTAGCTTTACACAGGGTGGAAGAAAGTAGAGACCCAGAACCACGTAAACATTTCGAACATGACCTTGGCAAGGTACAAAGGTTGATAAACCGGCTTCTACCAAAAAACATGCCAGTAGTCACCCTACTCAAAATATACAAAATAGGAAAACAGGAACCAGTCATCACTGAAAATATGTTTCGACTACTTGTAGCTCTTCTTTGGACTCTCTCTAGGATGTTCGCACCTCATTTCAGATATGGCGGTGCAATGGCCTTGTGGACCTCTAAATGAGGTCGTATGTGGTTCTTGAACAGCTTCAAAAATGGTTCTGGGTTCAGCGAACCTAGTTGTTTTCCTATGAAGTGCAGTGCTGCGTGGGCTTTCGAGTTATCTCCTGGAAAATTGGAGCTAGTGTCCATTTTGTCAGTCAGTGTTAATCCTAGGTCTTTCTCCGTGATGTTGTGGGATAGTCGTGTTCCACAGAGAGAATAGGGCACCTCCTGAGAGTCGGAGAAACGTAGTTCGGCACTTATCCAGGTTAAATACTAGTCCATTAATTTCACCCACCCTGCAAGCACTCTGAAATCACTTTGCAATGCACTTGATTCTGTTTCGAACGTCTCAGCTCGCAACAGCCCAACATCACCACCGTAAAGTAGAATTGGGGAGCTGAGATTCAGTGAGAGGTCGTTCACAAAAGGAAGGAATTGCAGACGACCCAGAATCGCTCCTAGTGATACACCAAACGACGATGCTCTCCAAGTCGAGAAGACTATGTTGGCTTTTGTGCAGGACTGTCCACCGTCTAAACAGTCCTGTAGCCAGGAGAGCGCTTGACCGTTGATGCCCAGCCTCGATATCTTGTGAAGGAGAATGGTGTGTGGGACTGTGTCAAGGGCCTTAGCAAAATCCAGGAGAATGATATGAACAAGAATTAGGAGGCGGCGCCATGCCGCTCGCTTGTCACCGGCCGCCAGAATGTTTGAGGCACGGGACCTACCCTTTCTGAAACCATGCCGAGAATCACTTGGTGCGCCTCTCTTTTCCAAGTACTCCCTGACATGGTCGTCTACCGGGCTCTCCGTTACTTTTGGCATCACTGGTGGGAGAGCTATTAATCCATAGCATTTAGGGTTCTGCCCGTCTCCTCCTTTGAAGATAGGGGACAGAATAGCACGTTTCCACTCCCGTGGTAGCATATGATTGTCCACGGAGTGTTGGAAATGATTACTTGGCAGGCTGTACAAGACACCCGTGGATCAACACAGCCGGTCGGGTGTCATCGCATCCTGGTGATTTCCCTATGCGCAGCTTTGACAGTATTTCAAGGACCTCAGCGGGGGTTGCCTTTATTCCGTGTAACACCACCGCATTTGACGGTGCTGAGGGCTGGTCGGGCAGCCGGAGACGTGTTCAGCTGCTCGTCGAAGGCGGTGCTAAAAGCTTCGGCTACCTCTAGTCCGGAGAGGTTCTCTCGGTCCAGGTCTATCAGGATGAAAGCCCACTAGCTGGTGTATTTTCTGCCTACCATAAATCGAAATGGGCTTTTGGGTTTCACCTTGACTTCTGCGCAGGATGGTTTGTATCGAACGACCTCCTGTCTCCCCTCACTATGACGGTGTATCAATTTCTTAGGGCCATATGTACGGTGTGGTCACACTCTTTTCTGGAGGTCCTCCGCTTGTGCCATCCTTCCCTCTTGGCTTTCAAAAGGCACTCAGTGCCTCGCTCTGGCTATGAGGTTCGCTTCCTTAGTATTGCTGTGGTTAGTGGGATGTCTTCAGGGATAGCCCTCCTAATGATATCTCTGACTAGTCCCCGCTAGTCTCCACTCCTGAAGCCATGGTACTGTCAACAGATATTTCTTCATCGCCAAGTAGTTTGCCTTGCTGTAGCAAATCTAGGATTTACTCACCATAAAAGTGACCGGGAAAGTCCAACACTTACTGATCGCAAGACTGTCATGACCGGTGTAAACGGTAGACAAGGTGTCCCGGAAGTCCGCTTGTCGCTTTCAAACAAGCTTATTGCTTTTGGACGCCGGAGTTGGAAAAGTGAAGATATTTGGCTGTCATAATATTTATCAAGATTATAAGTCTCTGATGTGGAATAGCATTGAAATGCATGAGTTACACAGCTCTGGAGTCACCAATGAAGTACAAAAAGTGAACAATTTGTCCGAAAATTCCCTCATGAACTTTTCATCATATCTCTAGCAAAAACTACAAGCTGTTGCGATGCAAGTATTAGCTTAAAGCTTTACTTTTCTCCATTTAATACACATAATGTCCAGATAAAAACCTGGTTTTTCGTTAGTGAGAAGACAATGCTTCCACTTAGTTGGCTTGCAATTTTCTGCATACTTATTCTGCAGGAGTGTTTCATTAGATGAACATGCAGCAATTATATCTTCTAGTGACAATAGGTGGGGACTGAGATTACCGTCCGCGAAAACACGTAATTTATATACGGACCTATTCATACCTGTGAAAATGGCGTGTGCCTGCGTACTCAAGAATTATTATTATTGTTATTATCAAAGACAAGGACAAGATCCCTCCCGTGAAAATTGCTCTTTGAATACCAGATCGAACACTACCGCACCGTGATCGCTGCTTCCAAAGGGGGTTTGAAACTGAACGTTTTCAGCCAGCAGGTGGTCGCCGGTAAGAAGATAGTTCAATTTGGGTGATCTCCCGCCCAACCCCCAGTCAGTGCCATCGCCAATATTTTCCTGTAGTCCAGTCTTTTGGTCAGTGTTGAATAGGTTTTGGTTGGACCCTCGGCTTGAGATTCCCTTGTCCAGCCCAAGAATGAGAGTTAAAGCATTAAAGTCGCCAACTATAATTACGTGGTCATACCCCATGCACGTCGCTCCGGTCATTACCCGTAGTGGTTGCCGGTTATGTTCCGCGTTGCTAGTAGGAATTCTGCAGACACCACCTGCCAGGCACTTTGTTTGTACAACCTCAAAGTGACGCCAGATGGAGCCTGGGAGCTCTGAAAGTAGAGTTTCACTTGCTAGTTCACTTTCAGTACAGTCGCTTATAGACATTGACACCCCACCCCCTTCCTTAAACTCCCTGTCTCTCCTGAACGGACGCATACCATCCACACTAGTTTCGATGTCACTAATATCCGGCGATAACCGAGCTTCTGTTAGGACTATGCTCTTTGGAAGAAGGCAGGAACAGAGAGATCGTAATTCCTCCATCTTACGCTTAAGTTCCCTCATGTCACTGTAAAGACACTTGGATGTGTTTCTAACGACATGGGCTGCCTTGGTGACGGCAGGCTAAAGGGGGTCATGCACGACGGTGAAACTTGCTACAGGATGGCCGGCTCCAGCGGAACCGCCCGAATCACGTTTTCCCTACATCGGTTTCCGGGGATTTTATAGAGTCAAGGCGAGTTTGAACATTTTGTCTGTTGACACTGACGGCGACTTCAGCACTAGGTGGGGCCGTCGTTTGCTGTTGTTGCATTGTCCTGGGCCTGCTTTCACAGCAGAGGGCGTTCTCACCGACATCATCTTTTACTGTGTGCCAAGTCTGCAGTGCTCCGGTTAAAAGTTCTTGGCAGCCAAAGTTGACAGCCATCAGCCAGAGTGATGCTATCGTCGTCAAATGTGAGGGACGTGGTAGTGTGCAGACCGCCGCCGCTGTCGCACTTAACCCTATCCTCGCTGACAGCCACTGCCACTGTTGGACGTCATGAGTACACTTCTCTACTAATGTACCGTTTGTTAATTCCAGTTTGCCATGAACAACCATTGTCGTTGGTTTCAGCGTTTGGGGCGCCTCGCGGGATATTTTTCTCGCTGATCGTGGTTGGTCTGG